ATTCAAATCTTTTAGACAGAGTGATTACCGGTGACGAAACATGGATTTTTGAATACGATCCGGAGTCAAAAATGCAAAGTGCTGAGTGGCACACAAGCGGCTCTCCTCGACCGAAAAAGGCTCGCATGAGCAAGTCAAGGATAAAATCGATGCTTATTGTCTTCTTTGACGCAAAAGGTGTTATCCACAAGGAGTTTGTGCCTGCTGGACAAACAGTGAATGGCCAATTTTACGCAGAAGTGCTCGAACGTTTGAGACTTAAAGTACGCCGCGTACGAAGGGAGATCGCGAATTCCTGGATGCTCCATCACGACAACGCGCCAAGTCACACGTCGTTAATTGTGAGACAGATACTGACGAAGCATAACATCACAACACTACCCCAACCACCCTACAGTCCAGATATGGCACCCTCTGATTTTTTTCTGTTCCCTCGCATTAAAAGAAGCCTTAAAGGACATCGTTTCGGGACGATTGAGGCGGTTCAAGCGGCTTCGACGGAGTGCCTGAACAGTCTTACGCTTGCCGACTTCCAGGAAGCGTATAAACAATGGAAAACCCGCTGGCAACGGTGTATTGATGCAAGAGGGGCATACTTTGAAGATTATTAACTCAATGTACGTATATCTTCAACGCACTTCATTTTAGGACATCAATCCGGATACTTATTGGACAAACCCTGTATGTATATAATAATAATGAATTAATACGGTAGGATTTCTAGCAAACTATACTTTCAAAAAAAAAAGGTAATTAAAACTTCCTTGTAATATGAAGCCATGAAAATACAGCATAACAATAATTGGTATATTAAAACTATAGATCTATATTGTAATCTACTATTATGTATGAAATTCATTTCTTGATATATTTCTAGGGGTGGTTTTCACCCTGTCTATGTAAATGATTGTCTGTAAAAATAAACATACTCAAAATTTAAGCCTTGATACGCTAACTTCGGATCGATTAAAGATGGAAAGAATTGTTAAAAAAATTAAATTGTTCTTCATAAAAAAAATTGACCACATTCTGATACATATAGTATGCTCGCAATAAATAATTTTTTTGATGGTTGACTATACTATGGCAAATCTACAAGGTTTTATGAATTACAATTATAATGTATATTGTAATTATTCTGTTACTGTCTTGATAAAAATGGTCTACGCTGAGGAAATGTTTACGATAATGATGTTTTACATTAATCGCATTTAACTGTCATAACATTGCTGTGAGTATTAAATTTCAGTTCGTTTCTGACTGAATATCAAGGCGTTATAAAATTTTGTAATGCATCTATTCATTTATCCATATTATGGTTGTACTAGAAGTTTAGGGAGTCCTATTTTTTGACCATAAACTTTATCAACATATTCTGTAAGTAATAATAACAAAACACGTTTTAAATACATAGAATTTTAAATACTTTATTTAAATGATATTGGGCTTTAAATATTTTATTAACAAATTATAACCAAAGTGTAACATGATCGATTGCTGTTTTTGTCGATGCCACACAGAGTGTGTCCCAGTTTTGTACGTAGAACTTTAGCAACATATTTTATAAATAAAAATGATTAAAAAATGTTGTATACACATAGGCTCTTAACTGCTTTGTTAACACATTCTGAAGAACATACGAAATGATAATGGACGATTTTTTTTTTCATACAACATACGAACAATTGTAGATTGTCATATATCTTTTAATAATTTCTAATCATGAATTTAAGAGCCTATGTCCATATAAATATCTTTTTTCAATATTCTTTATAAATTATACTAGTAAAGTTATACGGACAAAACTGGAATACCTTGTATGTGATATAGTAACCATTCATTATTTTTTGGTATTTTTGTTATTACTTTCTAATAAAATATTTAACACCCTATGTTAACATAACATTCTTGTATTATTTTTACAAATAGAATATGTTAATAAAATTTGGCGGTAATAAACTGAATCCCCTTGTACGTACTTGGTAAAATTCTCACATTTAAAGCACAGAAATTGATTTTGAACAAGAAATTACAATTCAGCTATGCTATTTCCGACATAAAGATTAATACGGTGAACCATGGCGAGTGCTATGTCTGAAGATCAGCGAATCAAATTCTTCAAATTGTAAAAACCATGTACGTGACTTTGCTCTTTTGTTCTTATCTTACATGCTATTAAAATTATTACCTTCAACGCTTCAGCATGAACATTGCAAACGGTCAGCATAAAAAAGACAATTTATGCCTTTGCTATTATATTGAGAAAACTGCACACATGAGCATATGATTGAGTTTTGTGCATAAACATTCATTGAATTTTTGTTAAAATATTGTTTCTTTTGTGTAATTGATTTCGAGATAGCAGTTCGAGGATCAAATATTAAACGGTAATCTCACCTATAACTTGAATTACGATTACTAAAACAGTAAAATCTGTTGTAATGTTCATACTGTAAGTATTTGACAAGCAAAAATGATTTTTAACTGGAAATCCAACATATTATTTATATACAAAATTTTGTTGATGAAAGATGTTGAGAAATAATTAATTTCTATTTAAATAAAAGTCAATTATCATTAAACCTCAAAGAAATTTTTCAAAAATGAAATAATTAGAGAGATTAATATTTAATTGTTCAGAATGGTTACGATTATTAATTATGAATGATCTAAATTTTGTCCGACTTCCAGTAAGCACTATTCATGACAGAAATTTAATTTCTGTTACCAATAATCAATATAAATGACCGATTTTTTCCCCAAGACTAACAGCCATTATCGTTGACCCGAATTTTATTTTGGTAATGGACAGCTATCGATAAAGCAATTTTTAACGGCACCTTCTATTGATGGGAACATTTTCTCAGGTTACATACTTTTCTGATGAATTTTTATTGATGCCACTGATAATTAATATTGACATACAACAAATTATATATGAAGCAGATATATTTTAGTAAACGAACATAAATGGGTCACTCCACATCAAATCGATCACTCACCGTCTACGAGTTTGCTCTAATTAAAGTATGTTGTAGTCCATACGAAATTAGGAGGGGGAAGGAGTTAAGTCATCATTTTGCCGGTTTCGAATTTGTTAAGGAATAATAAGCCTTCAAAGTTTCCAACTTTTTCCTATTTTGGTGAAAATGAGTTTCACTTACGATTTTTTTTTTCTCAGAAACTACTCAACCGATTTCACTCAATCTTTTTTGTTTTATTCATAAAAGATTAGGCTATTTTAAAATATTTGTTTTAATTCCGTTCATTTGTTATAAAATGTTGAAAAAAATAAACAAATTCTTTTTTTGCCTTTTTTTCCCTTTTTAATCTATTTAATAATTTATATTTAATTTTATCAAACTAATATTCCGTTAATTAGTAACTAAAGTAAAATTAAGGTCATCATTAACGGTTATTGGTAGCCATACTAAATTACCGTTATCGATAATGGTTACTGGTAATAAAACAAATGTCAATCATTTATATTGATTGCTCACGATCAAAATTATATAGTTAATGATTATATAGTTAACTCAAAGCACAACTTTCAAATATTGTCTTATCGCAACGATTTGATATGCAATTCTTTCGTTTGTTTGTTTATACCGCGCTATAGGCCGTAGTTTTGGTTCTTCTGATTTGAAATTTTGAGAGTAAACTCGTGAGATATCCTAAACTTGCTGTATAGATTTTGCTGTTAACTTAACGATAGGAACCTATCGCCATCAATGTCGATAATTTTTAATACATAGAATCGATTGGAACCACGTTAAAAGCTTTATAATTCATCGTCAATGACAATACTTCATCATTATTGACGTCAGTCGTCAAATCAATATAATAATTGTGTTTGGTATTGTTTTCCATAGTTTCAGATACATTTAATCGCTTGGAACGACTTTAAAATTGCTACATCTTATTGTTGTTTAACCAATACAGTATTGTTTACAGTAAGTACTCCAAATTTTAAACGCACATTCGAATTTGCGTGAGACATCTGGTTTGTAGACCAACTACTAATAAACTTTTATTCTATGCATCACACTAATAAACACAAGTTTAATAGTCATATTGTGAATATTAGATAAGTATTTTACTGTTAGATGTACGAGAATACAGACGTATTGTTAACACGCTGGAAGGTATGAAGAACTTTGAAAATATTACATGTACTGAGTAATATTAAAATACGAAAAATGTTTAGGGATACATAGATCGACTAACTTAGGTAATGCGATACATTTCGATACTACAGTTATACAGATAATACAGTTGAAAATATTTGCACACAATTTTAACCTTCTTCAGTTCGTCTGCGGAATGCTTTTTACGAGATTATTTATTGTTTGAGAAAACTTAGTAAATCCAGTTGGTATTTCATCTGAAACAGCCTCATTAAGTTATTCGAAACTAAATGCCTAAGAAGTAACTTAACACATTAATGTATTACGTGTATTACATATTTTTCATATATATATATTAAACTTAATATATTAATGTATTAATGTATTAGTAACTTGACATATAATATTTAATATTTGGCGGTTCGTCTAGCTAAAGTAGGGAGCTAGGAAAAGTAAAGGAGAGGGAGAACCTTTCGTCCAGGACCTGCTAGTGGACTCATCAGCGATGAATGTTGCATCTTACGTTATATAATTCGTGGACCTAGAAATATTGCGACACGGTAGAGGTAACTATGACTACGTTTCCATCGAAGGTTCAAATCGGGTCAGAGTCGGGTTAGAGTCGGGTTGGGGTGTGCGCTTTTACGGTGGAAACACCAAAGGTTTAGTTGAACTCTACTCTACAAAATTTTAGGGTAGCGTTCAATTGGGTTCGGTGGAAACGACAAGAGTCGAGTTCGTGTTGCCAACATAACAAATCCAAATTGCATTGTGTATCACGTGTTGTATTAATCGGTGTAGAAGAGGTTATTATTACTTTTTGTCGGTGATCTTGTAATCTGAGAAATAATTTTTGTATGTTATTTTGATATTGTAAAATTAATATTGCTCAGCTTTACATGTCAGAATATGGTAGTTGACTTTGTGCAGTTGGTAATGTTCAACCCTGCCGCAACTCCAACCCGCGACTCAAACCCGACTCTAGCCCGACTCTGACCCGATTTGAACCCTCGATGGAAACTTAGTCAGTAAGGCGTTCTAGCAGGCCCTTGCCTTAGACGCGAGGATGTATGGAAGGGATGGACAGGAACTATATGTATATATGAATAGGAAGGCTCTAGAATTCTATGCGCCGTCTACTGGCGATGAGCGTGGGAGTGAAACCGCCACAAATACAATAAGGCATTTGTGAGTAATTATATTTGACATTTGTTATAAAACTTCATTTCACGTATAAACATCGATGATCGGCGTGATTTGTTGTTTCAAAATTCTTTAAGCAATAAAGCAAAACGCAAAAAAATATATAAAACTTTCTATATGAGGTTATTAGAATAACCTCAATTCAACTCATTAATTTGGTAATTAAACAGCACTAATTAACAATTATTAAACTCGATCGGTTCTGCTGATAGAATCAATAAAACTTTTACAGATCAAATCACTGATTAATTTGTTTCACTAATTTAACCCCTTAACCTACAACTACGAGCATAGCCCGTGTACGATGATCGGGCCAAAAGTGAATATTACGGGCATAGCCCGTAGTACG